TTGACTGAAAACATGGTCAAATGTGATCCATACATTGTCATGAGTTGTTGCCGAATGTCCGTTATCCTCGCCCCAGTGCGTGAAGAACTTACGGATTACTTAGCTTGTTCTGGCTTCTACTGGCAAAAGGAACAAAATTGTGCATATTTGCTCAACCTGTCTACAATGACCATAACTTGGCTCATTTCTGTTTTTGACTGTAGTGCCCATAAAGTCTGTTGATATTGATGCTGCAGGCTTAGAGGACATAGGTAATGGTCTTAGCAGTCCTGGTGGGGCCTGTATCATACTCTTCTACCTTTGGCATACTTCACACTCGGCTACTTATCTAATGCATCCAGATCTCATTCCTGGCCATGTGCAGGAACGCAGTAAGCTAGCATAGGTCTTCCTTCAATCGAAATATCCCTCTGTTTCCTGAGCTTTGCCTATGATGCTCTCGATTTCTTCACTAGCGGGGATACATAGTCTGTCTTTACCATTGGCGGTGAGGAACAACAATCCGTCGACGACCATATACTCAGGCCATTCATGCGGCTTCTCCCTTGTGCTATAATGTCCTTATATAGATGGGGTGTATTTTGTTGGCATCTCTAATCTTCTGTTGCAGGTTCCTTCTTGCATCCATGTAGGTGGTAATGCTTCCAAAGAAATCTTCTCTTCTTGGTAGTGCATCAGCGGTGACATTGTACTTCCCTTTAACTGGTTTCGAGTCAGAGTCAAATTCGTCTATCTTTCTAACCCATCTAGTGATCTTTAGTGATATTCGTAAACATTTGGACCTGCATCTTTAACCAGCATGGGGTTTCATGATCTGAGTAGACTTTGAAGTGTCTTCCTAGGAGTTGATGTTGCCACGTTCCTAAGGCTTCATTCTTTAGCAGCTTGCGAACTTTGTGTGTAGTGAAGTTTCTAACGAGTTTCTATAACAGTTCGCCAGTCGTAGGAATGAGCACAACTTTGTGAGGTTCTTGGGCTTCGACCTATCTCTAATGGTTACAATCTTACTATCTTTGGGGCCTGGTTCTGACGATACCCCATGACCGACATACAACACACGACTCTTCACCCTCTCACACTTCTTTGGATTGACCGTGAATTTGTTTTCTCCACGCTTAGTGAGGACCTTGCATAGGTGCTCGTCGTATTCTTCTAAGGTCTGCCATCTAAATTTGCTTCCACCCCATCTCCATCTAGGACATGACGGAGGTACAGCACACAACTCTTCAGCCACTCACACTTCTTTGGATTCACCTGAACTTGTTTTCTCTAAGCTTAGTCATGACCTTGAATAGGTGCTCCTCGTATTCTTCTAAGGTCTTACTGAGAACTAGAAGGTCATCTAAATATACTTGGCAACGATAACCCAGGGGAAGAGGTTAGTCTTTCCCAAACTGCATAGAGCTTGGAGAGGAGCTTGGAGAGGGATCCCTACCATTGTGACTGGCTTATCCTCATAAGCTGTGCAGCAACTTTCTTGGCTCTCTCTGAATCGGCGAACCTCTCCTCCAAGCCTTTAAATATGTGATCCAATCCTGTTGTAACAGCCTAGTCGGTCTACTGTTTCTTGGCCTTATTGGCCTCAGAAGTAGCCCCCTGAAGTGCAGCCCTCCCAAACGGGCCACAATGGACTTCACCTTGGTAAGCGAGTCTCTAAGCATGGGGTCCATGCAGCACCGGAGAAGTAGCAGGGGCGTTGGTAAGCGAGTCTCTAAGCATGGGGTCCATGCAGCACTGGAGGAGTGGCATGGGTGTTAGTCGGACATCACATTGAACTCGTAGCGACCATATCTAGTTCTAAATACGGTCTTGTGCTGATCTTCGAGGGTCATTGCAATTTGATGGTAGGGTCATTGCATCCTAACTCCAAAAAATATATCTTAGAGAACCTATCTATATCCTAACGCCAAAAAATCTATCTTAGAGAACCTATCTACCAGTTCATATAGGAGGGGTAACTGTTCTGCATTGTTCACTGGTATCACATTTAGACCTTATAACTGTACATAGTCAAAGTTCCCCTTCTCTCTTAGGTACAAACAAAACAGGCGACCCATAGAGCGATGAACTGGGCTTAATCCACCCCTTATCTACTAACCCCTGAATCTACTTCCTTAACTCTAGTTGGTTTGTGCCGTGCCATCTTAATCCCCCACTTTGACAAGGTGTTGATGGCGAGCTCGTTCCTAGGGGGAGATGCCACAAACTTTGCTTTGTCTCTAAAGAGAAGTGCGGGTTGCGAAACCATGGTGGCATATTCGCGACAGACGGATATACGGACGTTCTTTAGGGCCTTGAAAGAGAAGTTCGAGGAGAAAAATCAGGCCCGGTGAGTTGAGTACCTACTGCGGCTTGGCTCTGTCTCAATATGGAGGCGCATCAGACTCTCATCTCTACTATTCCCCTTGGTTCCTCTTGCACATTTGCAATTTTCTCTTAACAACTTCTTGACTTGGGTTGACAGTGACTCTGTTTCTTCTCTTGGCTTCCCGTCCTTTGCTTTCTACCTCTTCTCAGGTTTTACATACACCAGGTAGACCTGATCTACTAACTTGTTCTTAACCATGTATCTAGACAACGTGGGTGTGCTCATACAACACAGAGAAGGACAACGTTTTTTGGGGGGAAGGCAGGGTGTGGCAGTGCTCCAATCTATTTGTGGGGAGCAGCACACGCTGGGAACCAGGCTCAGCATCCCATATGAGATATATACAAAACAAATGAGATACCGGGGCCATTACTTGACTTTGGCTGAGAATGGCATAAATGTTCATGAGAATACCACTGAGTACTCATGGGGGATGAAGAGAAAGCTACTGATTGTTCTGAGATAGTTAAAAGCATTCTACAATCCACAAATGTCATCTGAATACCCGGAAACCCAAGAATTACCTAACCGATGAAACCAAAACCCACCGAAGCTGTCTTGTTCCCTGCCAGGTCTCTTCCAGGCCTCACACCCCTGACCTGTTAGGTTACAGGGTAGCTGACCCGCCCCAGCTCCAACCAGTGTCGTCCTGACTGCCACCTCTGGTCGTCCTAGGAATGCCCATGGCGTTTTTTTTTTCTTCTTGTCCTGTTCTTCTTGGATGGGCAAAGCAGCAACCAACTTCTCCCATCCTCACATCTGCTTTCGCTGTCATTCCCGCATCCATGCGTAGAACCATAACCAGGGGTATGTCATCTTCCACAGGAAGGTCAAAGAGTGCAACACTCTCTGTATTTTTTCTCCATCCTCCAACTGTAAGTATGCCTTCACTGCCTCTGAGTACTACCCCACGCTCATTCGAGTCATTCTAGGGACTACTGACTCTTCTAGTTCATGTCTAGGGGCATTTTGATTGCTCTTTGGGAGATATTACTCCAGGTGGCCCCGCCATCTATCACAGCGCCTATTCTCCTCTTACAAACCTCTACGTCTTCCATCACGAAGTCTGGTGTCTTTTTTTTTCGTAGACTAGCCCTCGCGAAAAGGGGATCAGTTCTTCGCCTATGTTTGTCGGGGAGAACACTCAAAGAGATCCCACAACAAGCAACGTCTAGTCATCTATCCAAGCTGGTGGCTACATCAACCTCTACCTTGGCTTATGAGTGGGAAGGGTTCTCTCCTGTGTGTGCCTCTTCTCTATTTCTAATAGCCATTCCCTTTTGACTGTTGCTACCCTTGCTGTGGCTGCGGTGTTGGGTGGTTCCACAGTGGGTAGAAGGGAATGATGTGCCCTTCCTTACCACTCCTGAAACACTGTTGGTTGTCCTGGCGTTGCTGCCACTGGGACTCCTACAGGTTCATTTGCTTCTAGGGATGTCCCTCCTCTAACCCTGGGTGTAGAGGAAACCTCCCTTGACCACAAAGTGCAAGTCCGCCACCCCCTCCTCCAACCATCACCTGAGCCCTGTGGTCGGTGGTTGGGGAGCTCGTGATTGCCCGTCCATAGGAAGGTGGCAACTTGCCTCTGTAGCCACATGACCGCATACTCCTAAAATTTGGGAGGCTCAGGGCTACCAGACCACATTGGCTGGCGATGCCAGCCCAAAAAGACAAAGTGGGCCGCTGGCAGTTTGGCAAAGCTTGGCGTGCAGTGTAGCGCCGCCAGGCCCGGGTGTAAAGAGGAAATATCTCTGGATTCGTACCAAAGATATTGTCTAAATACCACCGGTTCTATATAAGAATTTAACATAGTATAGCATACCCAGACTTATAGATAACAAGACAAACCTCACAAGACTCTATAACCAATCTATGCTAAAGCGTACGATGATCCAACGGCATACTGAGAAAGCCAAACATCATCGAGCACTGGACCCCTTAAACCACCAGTACACCCGGGAATGGCAGCGATGCACTGCATGACAGGTTTTGCTGAAGCGCCAGCGGCAGACTTTTTTCTTTTGTGGCTGGCGCCACCAGCCATTGTGGTTTTGTTAGCCCAGAGCCTCCGAAATTCTAGGAGTGAGGCATGAAGAAATCTTGCATGGCAGGGGCCTTAAGTCTTGTCATTGTGGTTTAAGCCCCTCCAGACCTGTAGTTCTAGGTCTTTGCAATAGAGAGGCTCTGTAGCTCTAGGCTGGGACCCAGCTCACCAAAAATGACAAGCCGGGCAGCTGTAGTTCATCAAAATTTCACTCTGCAAATTTGCTGGAGTGGAAAAAGGAGAAGCAGCGTTCTCTGTAGGGCATAGCCAGGCAGTTCTGGCAGCCTACTGGATCATTTCCTGTTTCGACTGAAGCTGATTCCTTGCTGAGACAAATTTCTGTGTTATATGAAGTAGCCAAGTGAGCATGTTCAATTTCGAATTTTCAGCAAGCTTCTAATCAAGTGTGATTTCATCTCAATCAGTGTGATGACGAATGCAAATATTTGAGTATCTTGCAAATCGTAACAGTTTCCTATATCTGGGGGCAAGCGTCCAAATCAGGTAACTCGAGTGGGTCTCTCTGAGCCCTTGTTGTTGGTTGTGGGCACTGGTGCTGTGATGTGTTTCCTTTATAATTTTTGACAGGTGGAGTTTGTCCTAGCGCTGTTATCAGTGGGATTATACATTCGCTCCACGTAAGTACCAAGATTGACTTCTTCAGTAGCCATGAAATTGCATTAGAATTGTGTGGTTGGCGCTGGTTGCTTAGGAAACGTGCACAAAAAGTTGACGTGGAAAGAACAGCTCAGTGTGGGGCCCTTGTGACCAATTGGTGCAGGCTTGCACACTTGTCATTTCAGGACATAAGCACCAAGTAAATTCCCATAAAAACATAGAAAAAGGCACCGCATCTCCTTCCTTTCAGGTTTGACATGTCTGGAAAAATTGCAAGCTAAGGTGCCTGTTTATCTATTTAGGTGCGCTGCCAGGATATTTGGTATGGTGGCCTGTGTGGGTGCGCTGTGCAGTGCACAATTCGGCTTTATGTTGTGCAAGGACGTGCCATATGGCATATGGTATGTTTGTCTGTGCGCTGGTAGGGAGACCAGCGAGAGCAGAGAATTATAATTCTTGTTGGGAGGCAAGAAGAGGGATAAAGAAACTGCAGCATTGTTGATTCGCGTGCTGTGGTGATCATTGCTTTGCCGTTTCTGCCAATTGCCTTGCCGCCCTATGAACGCTGGTCAGGAGAGTTGATTGTGATTTTAAATTGGGCATTTACTTGCAGTTGGACATGTCAGTTTCCTTGTGATGCAGATGTTGATGGTGAGAGGAGGAGGGAGATGGCATTGGTTCAATCCGATGTCTTCTTCTCCTTTTCTTCATTCTTCTTCTCTCCTGGTCTCATTCCACTTCTTTTCAGCTGTGATGAGTGGAATTGTCTCAAAGTTGTGTTGCACCATGAATTGGACAGGAGGATAGGATAAGCTAGGAGGGTGTTAGGAGAGGAGAAGAGACATCTGGAAGGACAGGAGGATAGGGTAAGGTAGGTAGGATGGTGTTAGGAGATGAGAAGAGACATCTGGGAGATGACTT